TTCCAGGTCCATGTTGGTGGGAAGGAGGGTATCACCAATGTCACCATCAACAACCTCTCAAACCGAATCGATCACTCCAACCATCTCCAAACAACTCTAACCCCAGTCCAAGGATCAATTCAAGCCAGCGGAAAGGCACAGGCTCTTCCTCCTCCTCCTCTTCCTCCGCGCCATCGCCGCACACTTCAAGATTCGCCACGCCAATGCTTTCGCCCTAGCAGTCACCAGCCAGACAGTCCGCGAACGGCGCGTCACGAGCCAGACAGTCCCCACATCCAAGCTCAAGATTATGTGAAAAAAAAGAGCCAGTCCAGACTCATCGGAACCTACAGCATGGGAATGCATGTCATATCTTGGTCCAATTAGCCGAAAAGTATCACTAACATAGGATCAATCCGACCTGTTCTCAAATCTCGCTTCATCTCATCGAAATGGAACTGACCCCACTCAACAAGTCAAAGGCCTCATTTTACTGGAGATGGTCATACAAAGCCAATACTCAGAGGGTAAAAGACCCGGTTTTACCGGGTCAGACTGGACTTGTAGGGTCATTTCATCATGATGGAACGTGGTGAGCTGATTCGTAGACTAGCACTAACTGTCCGAGAAAAATACTCTAGTGCTTGGCCAGAATGTGCCAGGTGCCGTCCACAAGGTGTTGCTGTGTTGCTGTGTTGCAGACTTGAATTCTGTCCGATCTATTTGCACATGACTTGATTCTAATTATGGTTTACTTGTCTTATACAAGAGGTGTCAGCTTCACTCATGTTTCAATGTCGCCCAAACCATTCTCGGAGTCGCCCTGGCAGTCGTCTCGGTCGCCCCAAAAGGCTCCTGCCCATGAAGGAGCACCTAGACTTGGGGAAAAACGCTCGGCCTCCGTGGCTGATCGCAAGAAGGGCTTGGAGAGTCCTCTCATCTCAGTCTCATAGTGCTGAAGCAAGTTCTGACGCCTCGACGCAAGTCGCAAGTTTTCGGATTTTCATGCTGAAGTAAGTGCTGGAATTGAAGAAGGCAAGCAGTGTCACCAGAACTCCCTTGCAGAAGTCCCAGGTCATTGTTTTCGGAGGCTGTTTGGGGGTTCCTTGATTTGACCGATGGAGGCAGTGCATCCTCCGCCCAAGTGGCAGGATCTCCAGTTGTGCAGTGACAAAGCTCTCATAGCTGGCTCCACTGCCATCGCCCCCCGGCGTGGCGCCGCCCACAGGCGTTGGCCCAGTGGGAGCACAGCTGCACATCAGGATCGGAAGGCTGGGACGGGCCCGGGCATCAGTGGCACTTCGAACACCCAGTGGCTTCGATTTGGGTGGGGAACGCCTACAAAATCAGTTCCTTCGATCCGATTCCTGGCATAGTCCACTGCCATGTCTTTGCCGTTCTTTGGCGTTCGGGGAAGAAAAACGACAGGATTTCTCGGTTCAGACGGAGGAAGATCGCAGACAGAATTGCTGTTGAAAATATGGTCCACCGTAACTAGATTGATTGGAATATCAATGAATATCACTACTTACGGACCTACTGACTACTACTGATTACTGTATAATATGTATACATATATAGATTGGATGTTAGAAAAGCCGTGAAAGGGAGGGGTCAAAATATCTTCAAAGGCTGCCTTCATCGTGCTTATCTCATACGTGAAGATCACTCGTTGCTTCACTTTTGCTTGAGCTGGGCCAGAAGAGCATCCAACATGAGCCCGTTACCAGGTGGGAAAGTGCAATCCCTTTCCTTGCATCTTGATGTATTCATTGGTCAAGGACTCAAACGGCCAGGTTTGCAACATCGAGTCGTGCACAGAGGCAACATTGGCTGCTTTACAACAACGAGTCTTATTTCTGGTCAGAGCCAACATTGGAATCCTCTCATTCAGCTTCTTCACTTCCTGACCTGGGCTTTGTACTTCCAAACAGGGGTTCTGTTGAACCCAGCAAACAAACACGTCAGTTCTTTTGTTTCTGTCTGTGTTTCACCGCCCCACAACACCAGCCCCACAGCTGCAGGGTGGGAGGGCGCTCGCAGATGAAGCGCGCCACGCCCAAGGACAAGACTGCTGCAGCTGAAAGGATGCCTCGGAGAGCTCAAGACCCCATGCCTGGGAAAAAAAGATAGAAACCTTATATGATTGGAAGGGCTTTCCATTAAAATTCATGTCTACCTACCTGGTTACCTACCTACCTATCATCCACCTACCTACCTACCTACCTACCTAGCTAGCTAGCTATCTAGCTATCTAGCTATGTAGCTATCTATCTATCTATCTATCTATCTACTGTATATATATATATATTAATATACATATATACTATATATACACATACCTCGTGAAGATTCCTAGGGCACCTGCAGGATGGGGTGCGTGTTGTTTTTGGTCACACTCTCTATATATATATATACAGTAAGTTTACCGATTCTTGAAATCCTCTCCCCAGATAAGAATCCTCAACCCGAATATCACCAAGAATACCACCAAGCCGAATAAGACTGCCAACCTAAAGCAACCGTGAAAGTGCTGGGTGCTTTCGCTGGGATTGGGAAGGATTTAAGATCATAGATTAGATGGATGGATGGATGGATGGATGGATGGATGGATGGATGGGTGGATGGATGGATGGATAGATTTGATAGATAGACAAATAGCAAAGCTGTACATTGATGGGGCAATGATATTCAGCTAGATTGGCCCATACACTGCTTTCGCCCCATCCATGCCGAGTGGTCGACGTCCTGAAAGCGGTTTCTTCGTGGGTCGTTCAAAAAGTCACGGTCCTCGGAATCCTCACCGCTAGACCAAAATGATATGGACCAAAGACTGAACTCCCATGAAGTCCAAAACACCACGTTCACCGCCGGCGCGGTAGGTGTGATGAGAATCGAGGACGGTTCACTCTCACTCTCACCTGTCTGGATGCTGAGACCAGTACCCAGGTGCAAAGAGCGTTGGCCTGCAACCGCCGTCAACCCGGTGACCGAAGGGCGAGATGCATAAAGGATCAGCGGAAACCCAAAGCACCAAAAAAGGATCAGGGTCAAAAGCCGATTCGCGATGTGGCCTGCGGATGGTTTGCATCACCGCGATCAACCAAGGATCAACCAACATGGTCCATGTCGGGTTAGTCTCCACGGATGTCTCCACCGGTCTCCGCTGTGGGGCCGTGAAACGGGTTTCGTTCGCCTGGCCACTTGTCGTGGATGAACTTTCCTGCCACCAGTGCCGGCAAGCCTGGCGGGGCTCCGTCGGCGTGTTGAAACGCTCATGATGAGAAAAGGTGAGGCTGCACAGAAGCTGCAGTGATTACAAGAAGTATACACAAACATATTGATACCATTGATGATGCATGACCAGTGGATGTCGTTTGACCTTGAACCTATACTACGGCCCGGGAGTCGAGATCGGCTCGGATCGACACTGGGAGAGTCAAGCTGAAAATCCGTCAACTGCTCCTGCTCGTTGGGCATGGAACCTGTCGAATCTCGAAGAAATCAACACTGGTTGCTATTGCGTATCGGCCCCACATGCCCACAGTCTCAGGCACCGCACCCAGCAGGGTGGAGGTCCAGAACCACACATCGTGTCTTTGCCTGCTTAGCCGGACAGGTTTTCCCACAAACTCCAGCAGTCTTCGTTCTGAGGTGGAGCAACTCGATTCGTTCATCTCAGTCTTTCAAACAGAGAATGGCTTTCGCCTGTGGCCTGTGCTGGCTTTCGCCTGTCCCTAACCTGCGAAAAAGAAGAAGAAGACGAAGAAGAATAAGAAGAAGAAGAAGACATGTCCTTCAACTGAGGCAACATCTTCCTGTCGCTGACAACGACGATTTGGTGGGCTACACCGATTTGGTAGCTATACAATGCTATACAGCTGTACAGCTATACTCTCCAGTCATGTCAGCTCCTGATTTAGGAACCCCCCCAGTAGTTTGGCCCACCTTCTTCCTGCAATACTAACAGCCCAAAAAATGTGTCAATTCCCCAAAAGGGGGTACCCAAGAACTCACCACTTAGTTTGGCCCACCTTCTTTGGCCAATCTTCCCTTTCGCCGCCTCCCTTTTCTCTTTCACCAATCCCTCATCCTATGGTGATCATGAAGAGATGAAAACATCGTTGGATCTCTCATGAAAGGATTCATCTGTCCGACCCGACCTCGATGGGGGGTCACCCTTCAGTTCCGTTGGTACGACCCCGGACCTGACCGATCCTGGGGGGGGTAACTCTTGGACGACTGCCCTCAGGCTGTAACAAACAACGCTAAACAACTGCTTCCTTCAGGCTACACAACAATAGTGATTGGGCATGTTGGTCCAAAACTGCTTGAGCTAGGACTAAACTCCCACCAAACCAGACTGGATCACTGGAATGACTCAAGTGATTTCCAACATTGGATGACTTCCACTGACGAGGTAGATGAATCACAAGTCTCCAACATCCTCCCAAGTCTAGAACATCTCTCCAGCACCATCCTCTGCACCATCGCCCTTACAACTACACGGACACGGCACCGTCCAGACGGTCCTCAACGCATCGCAATTGAAAGGCATTTCGGCAACGCCTCCGCACGCGGTGCCGCACAGCCATCGCCACGGTACAAACCATCTCCAGTTGCCGGAGGGTGTCCTCGGAGGGGCCACAGGTGGCCCGTCTACGGCGGGGGCCTCCAGCATGGTGCATGGAGACAAGTCCAGGATAGGAAGAAATCCTGGAGGTGAAACGACTTGTTTGCATCCACCGAAGCAGTTCGGGACTTAGAGGATGCGGAGGGTGATTCACGGTCATTGCCCAACCCATCGAAAGGGGAAACGAATGATTCTAAAGGGCTCAAACGGGTGGCTTGTGGAACCTTGTTGAAGGTCCAAAAACCCATTTGTGCCGGTAGCCGTAGCCACCACATTGTACTCCACCAAGACTGGCTCAAATCCATGACGTCTGAGGGCGATGACCAAATTATGTTGACATTGATTGAGAAAACATGGATCAAAAGCACAACAATAGCTCTAAGATGCTCTAAGGGGTGTGATTCTTGTTATTCATCACCAGTCCACAATGAGTGTCGACATCGGCACATGGAAAAAAAAATGCCCCATCTCCAACCCCTCGGCTTCGGAACACCCCTTGGGGCTCCTCTGTGGCGGTGATCACGTTGTCCCAGTGGCGGGTCCGTGCTCGGAGCACCTCCGCCACCACCTCCTCACGCTTCTGCCGGAAGGCCTCGTGGCACGGCGTGAAGCGTTCGGGGCGAGTGAAGCGTTCGGCATCGGGTGGGTCGTTCCAAGAAGCAAAAGGGTTCCGCGCTAAGAGTGGGCAAAACGAAGAAGTCCCAAGAACTTGCAAGTCTGGGCCACTGCGAGGAGAATCGGTCCACCTTCCGAAGTTGAAACATTTGTTCAGCCATGTTCCAGCGACCCGCGGACAGCGACAGCGACTCCCGTCCCGTCAGCTCAGAAACCGCGCCTCCAACGGTAGCTTGTGCTGCCGCACCCCGTTCCTGGCATCTGAAGATTCTTCGGCGACGCCGCATGTCCCTTAGCCTGCCAATTGAACACCACGTCACCACTTGCAAAGAAGGAGAACCGCGCGTGATCCTACAACATGCAACTGGCTAACGGGCTACCTGTTCTGTTATGGCTGTGCACACAAGCAACCTTTGGACAGTAACCGCATGTAAACACGGACCACGTTTACTCTTCTGACGTCGGACTCTCCGGTGTTGTCCCGGTGCATATAAAACACCGGAGGGTGAGGGCATGGGAAAAACCTCGGTTCACCCAGTCATTGAGACATAGAAATACTCCTCCGCACCGTTGCCATGCCTCGCTTCTTCGGATTTGCTCCGGACGCGGACGCGTCCCCCCCGAGTCGATCCGTCTTCGGACTATCGAGTCGATCGGTCCGTTTCGGGCATCTTTCAGTGTCCGTTTGACAATGAGGTCGTGGCTCTTGCTCGACACCTGCATTGTACATGGTGTAGATCTGTGGGATGTCCTCGGTGAGCAGTCTGAGCTCTGCGCAGCTTCCAACGCAGAACAACATTGGTTGAGTGAATGTTTGCAGAGATTTTGCAACTTGAAAGCCAACTGATTGAGTGTAAAAAGGAAGATTTCCAAAGGACCTGAAGAAAGGTAGTGTCCTTTCCACTCCGACTCACTAACATGGAGATGGACCACGGCCACTCGGAAGCCCATGTTCCTCTACAAATAGGTGGTTTTCCACTACTTCCATGTGATGTGTTCGTCAAAGGGTATCGCTGGAAGCGGTATGTCCACTGCTCAGCCCGGCTCGGCCCTTGGGTCTCGCCCTGATCCGCTTTGAGAGATCCGCGAACCCCGTGGCGCCGTCCTTCCGGGGGATCACCTGCTCTGTCCGACGGTCCGGGTTCCGCCGGGCCGGACCGTGGGGTTCTGGGCGAGACAGGTCGGCGAGACAGGTCCGTCGAAGGCGAAGGCAGAAGTAAAACGTTCATGGCAGTGGAGATTCGAAGGATTCGAATGACTGAAAGAAAAAGAACCGAGAAGGCAACCAGAACCCCAGAACCACTAGGCCCTTGCTGACTCATCGCAGAACGCGCTCGTAGCCGCGCCTTGGAGAGTGCCCAGCCCAGTGTCCCATAGGCACGGGCGAAGTCCACGCTGCTATCCAACTGGTCCACCTGGACCGTCGCGACGACACGCTTGCTGGCGACGAAACATGTCAGTCATGGTGAGTGAAACCTGTGTGGCGATGGTCACCTCCTAAATTCAAACAACTAGACAGCAATGATTCTAAACTCCAAATCCCCTTCGAACAAGCACTGTGCATCGTTGCTCTCTGCTGGAACTACTACAAGAACTGCAGAAACTTGGACGAACAAAAGGGGCAAGAGCTCCTTCACCACCAACTGTTCAGAACTAGTTCTATAGTAGTTACTGTATCTTACTGTTGGCGGAGTAAATATATACAGTATATATATATATACACACTGTGTTGCTCCTCCCTCTCGCTCCCTCTTAAAATGAACATATTCATACATATATGCATTGTCAAAACTGAGCAAGGGCCTCATTGACTGATTGGCAAGAATCCTGCATCGCCTCGCACGTAGCATAAGGGGGTTCCAGCTCCTCGTCTTCAATGCGGATACAGGTCATGTTTCGATGGGTGCCGGATTTCTTCCATGAACCAGTTCCAGAACGGGCCCCTCTGAGAATCCGCTTTCACCTTGCTTTCACGACCCCCGCGAACCCCCCCACGCCGCCATGGGCCTTATTCAGGATGATCACAAACTTGTGGTCCAACCCCGCCTCAGTCCCGGTGAACACCCCACCGGGGCGTCCCTCTCGCCCGGCAGCTCGAACGGAATGGCTCCGAGCCTCCGAGCTCCGACTCGGTCCTGCAACCACCAATCGAACCCCATGGCACCATGCCCGATGGGTCGCCCGACCATGGAGCGTGTGAGCACGTCCAAGGACTCACCCGTGGTGCCAGGCCTAGGGTGAAGAACTCTTGGGAACGCTTGTAGGACCCGTCACCTGAGCTACCTATGGTATAGTCTATATACTGATCCCTGAAGAACCTCTGTTGGGAGTCGGGAGGCATTGGTTGCCGGCGCCGTCCTTCGGTGTCCTTCAGTGTTCAAACACCCCCGAAAAGAGAGCGAAAAGAGAGTGAAAAGAGATGAAAAGGTTTCCTGGGTGGGAAACCCTGCGACTCCGACTCCGCCGCCTGTCCGGGTCAAAGAGCAGCAGGATGAGGTCTGCACCTCACAGCGTCTGTCGTCCAAGCGGATGTGTCGTCGAAGAGTGGAAGGCCCGATGTCACAAAGCAGGAAGACCCTTCAAACCAACGACCCGACCACTCGGCGTCGTTTCGAAGCGTCGGACGAAGGATGTGAAACAGCATCGATGAAGCTGTGATCGATTTGCGTGTGATGAAGTAACCAAGCGATCAAATAATCAGTCTCTCAATCATTCCCAGTATCGTTGCTATAGAAACCTCCTGAGTTGTCCTTTCACTTACCTTGGCAATGCTTAATTATTCTACATGATCAATAGTTTTAGGATGTTTTAGGTCAATTCCTGCAAGTATCATCAAGTATCCAAAGTTAAGAGAGCTCAAAAAAGCATGAAAACCTTCCCTAACTTCTGCCACAACTGGACTTGTAAACTGAGGCGAAATGCATACCACAGGGCTCCAGGCGTTTCGCGAACCACCGAACAACTTCTAAGAAGTTGTAGCCTGCAGCGGTATCCCGCACACTCAGAGATGAAGGAGAAGATAGATGCGCAGCCCAATCAAGGGTTGTGAAAGGCAACTCAGGATTCCTATGCGACAGGAAAAAAGAGATTGTCAGAGGCACGAAGAATGGGCATGCAACGACAAAAAGATTCTTGACCAAACCTTCACGCAGCTCGCAGCGGGCGCCACGCGTTCGTTGACACAGCAGCCCAGAACCTGTCTGTCTCATCCAATGAACCTCTGGGCCCCCTCAGGGGTGTCTAATGGTCAATAGCCAATAGCATTCAATAGCCCCTTAGAGGTGATTCGGGGCGTCCACTAACCACCCCTAACGGGTCTCTGGTATAAATCAATGGAATCAGGATGGCACCACGCCCATTCCTGCCGTGCCTCTGCCTCCGGCCATGGACTCGGACTTCACCGGCATGTCGATCCTGTTGCGCATTGCGCCGGCATCGATGTTTGGAGGTGATGGTGGTCATAGACCAGATTCTGGAGGGGTGCTGCCATGACACTTTCTTCCTGAAGTATGATGAACGAGTCAAACATGGAGCCTTTCAGTCTCGGGTTTGCAAAGCCCTCCGGTCAATTCCCAGCTATCCTCGCGTTCGGAACTTTATGCCACGATCTGCGGGCTCTTGTTGTACAACGAACAGGAACTTGTTTTTCAATAGGGGGTTGTTGCTCCCATCTTGCAACCTTCTGAGATCTTGTTTGCCCCAGTTTCACTGTTTGACTGCTGTCTGCAGTTCCCCACATGCCAGGCGTGTCGACAATCTGAAGGCCGTAGGGCATCATGCTGGTCTGCACCGGTCGAAGCAGCGGATGGCGGATGGAGAAAGAAGTGCAATGACGGGGGAACTCCATGGTTTTCCCTTTTCCATCCTTTTTTATCAAGCAATCAAAAAATGGTCTCAAATCAGTCTCATCGGCCCGGCGGCCGCAGGCGAAAGCTCCGAACCGACGAAGATCCGCCTCGGGGAGCTTCAGCTTCTTTCGACGGAAGTGGCCCCAGAAGGGCTGTCCAAAGCGTTGCAACTCCTGGCAGAACGCAAGACCGGATTGGACCGGCGGAAGAGCGGCATGGAGATGGAGGAATTGGGTAAGGAAGGTAAGGAAAAGAAATCCAAGCACTGTCAGGAGAAACAAAACCATACAACCACCCCACCAGCATCACGGCAGAAACATCATGCCAAGAAATCACCTCCATCACCACGGATATCCGAACACGCATGTGTCCCACCGCACGTTGGCCTCGCCAGTCCACCGAGCACTCCTTAAAGGGTCGGTTCTCGGGGCAGCTGAGCAACGTCGGGCCATCTTCCACCTAAAGGGGCGGACGGACGTCGCCACGTTGCCACGGCGCCCTCTTCTCAGGACCGTTGTGGCGGGTGATTGTTTCTCCCCGGCGCCCTGAGAAAAGTGTGGCATTGTCAGGTTGTGACATGCTGTGTCATGCTTTTCTTGGAGTCTTTGGATGAACACCAGTGGCATCAGTTGGTAGAAGTCCTGCAGTGCAGAGTTTGGCATGCTTTCATGCCGCACGATGGCCCCGAGGGATCCTTGCGCATCACAAAGCGCCTACAAGCACTGTTGCAGGGCCTTTCCTTCTCTGTCTGTGCTAAGTTTGGCAAAAAATCCCCTTAGGTATATATATCAGTATATTTCACGGGACCCGAATCTGTGATCTTCTGGACTCTAGGATCCCATATGCTTCCCGAGCCCGATGTCACCAGCATTCATATCCCTGTTTCAAGCTTCACGCCCCCAGTGCCACGAGTCTTTCGGATACTCAAACTGTCGGGGACCAAACAAAAAGGGCTGGTGGAGGAGTACGTCGCTAACTCCACCGCCGACCGCGCCACTCCACACTCCGCAGATCACGCAGATCGCGCTTCGTCCGGAAAAATGGTCCGCCTCGTTGGTTGCGGGATGGCGCTGGAGCACCTCGAAATGATCTTGTGTGGAACACCTCTTCATGGCACTTGGTCTTTTGGGTCAATGGCTCTTGCTCCGCCAACAAGATCAAGGATCAATGGCTGGTCCTCTTCTTCTCAGGGTGTTCAATTTGGAGACCCCAGCTTATGGACTGCTTGTGCGCCCCAAATGATTCTCACTCCTGCGCAGCTTGGATGCTTTCCAGTCAGCAGTTGCGGGCTCAAGAAAGAGTACCCCAAAATCCCCCATTGCCATTGTGAAACAAGAACGAGCCACACTCCCTGTATCGGAAGTTATCTGAACATCAGCTATTGGTTGAGGCGATCACGATTGTGTGAGAAACTCGGTGTCTATAGAAACATGTCAACCTGCACAGCCGCTCAAGCCCTTCTTTCGCACAGCCTCCCCCCCTCAGCTGTCCACCCAAACAGATTCTGCATCATTGGCAGTAGGATACACATCTGAAGGTTGGTCGAACACCGATTTGGGGGTTGGACCAAATGCCTGGCAAACAAGGATCTGACATGCTCGAAATCCCGATGATTCAGATTTAACCTTCGATTCGATAGCAAGTGCTCAAGGTTTGGTCCAAACCTCATGTGGTGTCGCGCCTCGATCCTCATTAAACCAAGACTGCTGAACTTATCAGACTGCAAATATGAGTTCCTACACCCCAAACTGTTGCTTCAATCCCCAACAGTTCAGAACTTCAGGCAACACAACCCTCGACCCAGGCCGCAGAAAGGCAACCATCAGAAGCGCAAGAAAGGCTGCTGCTCGGAAGTGGCTTGACAATGCTGGAACTGCAATTCCTGTTGCAGTCTCCACCTGGGCTGGAGCAGAAAGACGCTCACAGACTTGAATCACCCAAAGGCTCAAAGGTGCTAATAAACACTGGTTATCTCGGGTGCTGCAAGCCAGGTGGCTTTGTCTCAACATGGTGTATGAGCACAAAGCCTTGCTTTTTACTGCAACATCCAGACCCAGCCACTGGGCCGCTCCACCCAAAACACCCTCGCCAAACCGTTTCCGACCCTTCAACGTCCCAAGCACAGAAGGGAAGCCTAACTTTTTTTCATCAGTTCAACCAGATCTCGTGGCTTCAATGTTTGAAGCCCCAGATCGCTATGATCGCTGGGAGTCGGATCGACAAACTCAACAAGCCACTTGGATCGAAGGAGCCAAGTCTGGCGACCCAGAGGTTCAGTCTGAATTTCCGACAGAACGCAGGGGTCGAATTTCCTTCGGTTCTCCTCCAATTCTGTAGCTAAAAAATATTGGAAACACGTGGGATCAAACCCCAATGGCTCCAAGCGAAGCCAAGCGAAGCCAAGCGAAGCTGGAAACCGCAGCCCTTTTCCTGCGGGTCGAGCAATCACTTCCCCGGAGGCTGCGCACGGAGGAACTTCAGCGCTTCAGCGTCGCACATGCCACGAACACGTTGGTAGGTCTGCGGCGCATACTTGGTGAGGCGCACCTTCCAGCGTCCACATTCCACATCCTCGGAAAAGATCGTGAAACCGAAAAGGAAGAGGAGGAACTGAGAGGTTGGGCCTCCCTATGCCCGCTATCCGGATTCTTTACTACTTCATACTATACTTCTATACTTCAAAAGACCTGCGGAATTTCTCCGGCCCTAAGATGCCCTTGGAAAGTGTCTCAAACTGGCACCTTTGGTGAAACCGGATGGGCCTCTGCAACCAGCTTGGTGGGCACACCCTTGGAGACGAACATGATGTCAATAAACAGGGCGCACCTGGGATGCCTGCAGATTCCACAGGTGTTGCGATTTCCCACTAGACAGCATTTGGTTTATAGAATGTGCACTGCAATAGTCGGACTTAGAAGCAAACCACATTAGATGCACCCTACCATGGTACCTAGATTCCCTGGCCAAATTGTCTGCACGATCTTTTCCCCTCATCTCTCTCCAAGGCTCTAAGAAAAGCCCCGCTCTGAAGTGCCTCGTGGCCTTCTCCGCACGCGCTCCCGTGCCACCGCCAGCTGCACGCGCGAGTCCAGCACTGCCGTCTCGGGGGAGACGTGGCAACGGGTCTCCAACTGCTGTGGCCAGTGGTCTTGGCAGTGAATGCCTGGGCCGACCGGGCCGTCCGCCGAACACAGCGACGTATTGTCATGCAGAGTGGTGAGTTAGGAGTGGTGAGTTAGGAGTCAGAGGTGGAAGATGGAGGGTCTGCCAAAATCCAAAGTAAACCAATTGAGGTCTAGGTGAGCTACAAGATTTGGTTTGTGAAAGTAAGATCCATGAGAGTTGATCGAGAAGAGCTGCGGAAAAAATAGAAATGACTCCTCACTGATCTCCAGGGAATTATCCATCTTGGAAGGCAATAGGCTGTTGGTGTTTTAAAGAGATTGGCAAAAGGGAAGGCTCACCAAACAACACCCAGCTACAGTAGGGTGAAACCAACGGACAACCGCGTCCCACCACGTGCCAGTGGTCCGAGACTGCTCCAGTGGAGAATGTAAATCTCGACAGATTGAAGCTCGAGAGTGGTGGCACAGTGGTTAAATAAATTGCATCCGGTCGTGCACGCACGATGGCGCTGTACTTGTAGCTCATGTTGGGCTCAAAGTCCTTAAAAACCGAGTCAAAGGCGATCTCTAAGCGCTTGCATTGGGAATATGCACGCGCTTGGTCCCTTCGCTTGCTATAGCTGGGCTCCATCCCCAGCGAACAGTTGTGGTGTTTGGGAGGCTCATACTTTGGAGCCATGAAATCCATGTAGACCGGCTGCAGCAGCTTGGCACAGGGGCGGATCCTCGGTCGAATACCCGGAACCACAGGCGATTCGTCTCGTCATGAGTTCGGCCATTGGCGAAGATCCACCACGGCTCGGAATGGGGACCTACCGGCTGCCCCGAAATAGACCTCCCTGGCAAAAGCCAGCCAGGTTCACTGGGTAACCAGGTATTTGCCCATTCTTCTCTCCAACAGCGTGGTTTCTGCACCCCAAGATTAAAGCACCCAAGAATGGTTTATGTGCATCTCTTATATATATATATAATATATATATATATAGTGGTCTAAGTACCAAGACACTCCCTCTCAGGCAGCTCTCAGAGATGCTCTCGACTCTCAATACCTCTTATATACACCAAAAGAAACCTGTTGGAGGTCTTTCTTTCCTGTTAAACTCGATGCCACGGCTCTGTTCCTCCTGGTAGCTCCGCACAAACTTACCAGGTCGAGCGTCATCACCCAGCGACCTCGTCTGACGAGACCGACGGTTCCGCAGCTTCCGACGTAGTAGCGTCCTTGCTCCTAGTAGCGAGGCCAGGAGCCCCTAGTAGCTTCTTGCTCCTAATAGTACGGCCAGGAGCCCCTAGTAGCGTCCTTGCGGCTCCTAGTAGCCCCTCAAAAGCTTGCTCCCCAAAACCCAAAAATCCTCTGGTGCCTCATCCGTTCCATCCATGATCCTGATGGTCATCAAGTCAAGTGTTATAGAGATGACGGTCTTTCTTTGGAAGGCTCTGACCAGTGTGTGTCGGTTCTCTTTCTCTATTTGAGGCGAAAAATGCTGCATTTGATGCGCTTAACTAACCCTATGGGCCTATGGGAAATGGTCTACAAAGCATGTCCAGCTGGGAAAAAAAAGAGCAAACTCTCGTACCGGGATTCAAGCAAGAAAAACTCACAGAGTTGGCAAAAAGATTGGCAAAGTTGTTTCATCCAACCAGGTTGAGTTGTTTCAAAAACAACAAAAAACACTCATCGATTTGTGAAGAATGACACAAAGAGGAACACATCCAATTTCCAGCGCCGCTGCCCTGTCACAGGTGTGGCCAAACCATCCAGCAGCCTCGTCTTGATGTTGCTACAAACCACATTCCACAAGAGTGATCTGGCAGCTCCAACAATGATCACTGCAGCTCGCAAGGCATCAGCATCGTCCTTTCCATCCAACTTCCCAGTCAAAACCTTTCTCTCCTCCTTGACGCTCGGCACCTTCGACTTTGACACAACCTTCTTCACTTCCACCACCTTCGGCGCCTTCTCTTTCCAACCGCCTCGACGAACGGTGCGACCAACCCACGGCGTGCTCGTCACGGAGGCCGTCACGGAGGCCGCCGGCGGCTCGGACGTGGTGGACATCGTCGCGTGGCCGGGGCGGTCCAAATGGTCGTGGTCAGCATCGCCGTCGCGCCACGTCGCATTGGAGCTCGTCACTTTGAGTTTGTGGCGATCCCAGCGGGGTGCCAAGGCAAGAAGATAGACCTTCACCAGTTCAGTTGAAAGGCTTGGATCACAAAACGGGTATCTTGGAAGGCTATGGAAGGTTCAAATCGTCTCAACTGACACATGTTAAACTTTGAAGAAGAAAAAGATCAACTGGGCAAAAAACACCATGAATCCCTGAAGTACCGAAGACCTGAGTTCATTTCGTTTAGACACTTCCGTCGGGAACTTTGGACTGGTCCGAGTTTCGGAGCCTGCCAGGACAGCAGGAGCACAAAGCAGAGGACACTGGCACCATGAAATTTCATGTGCCGGCGATGGATTTGTACAGGGAATGGTCTGAAGAAAAAGAACAGTGGAATGTTCTCCCTCGTCGGGACATATCTCCATCTAGGCTACCAGGGTCAAAATGCCTTTGCCAATTGAAATCCAGCTGTTCTTGGTTCTCAGGCGCTGCAAGACGATCTATGGTCGTCCAGGATTTCAGTGGATACTCACTGAGAGACCCCGTTTGTACTGCTCTTGTGCGAGGAGCTTTTGAGCTAATCAGATGAGGAGCCATGAGCTTACCGGTTTAGCTCTGAAGCTGACCTCGTTGTTTCACTTGCGAGCCAAAAGAACCCCCTGAGACATGCAGATCGCGGCCACAACTCTAAGCATGCAGATAGTGGAGACATGCGAAGACCGATTGGTGACAGAACAAGCAGCCTGCCTGTGATTTCAGACAAGATTGCACAAAACCCAAAGGTGCTGTTAGAACCCCATATTGTCTTTGGCCAAGCTTGGATTTGCGAACATCAGCTCACCAACAGTCCTGAAACCGAAACGGAGTTTACACCAGGGAACCAGGAACTGGGTCAGAATCGTCCTGAGACCTTGGGGCTGTTTGACCTCTGTTCTGGTCTGATTTGTGTCCTTGGTTGGGTACTTGGCTCGCTCCAAAAAGACTCTGTGGGGCCAGGCACCACGTTAAAGTCCTGAGGCACCAAAAAATACAGAGACCTCACCTGTTAGAATTTTGAATCTCATGTAAGTTTTTCTAAAAGGTGATCCTGACCTATATCACCATCTGATCACCTATTATATCCATAATATATATATATATATATGTATGTATGTATTCATTATTATGGCTCTCAGCTCTCACCCCACCAGAACCCACCAGAAAATCCACACCGCCTTTGGCCCAAACCCCGCCTCCCGCGGAGCTGCGCTGTGAGCTCTTTGGCCTCGAAGAGAATCTGCCCGCAAGAGGCTTGGACGCCCGCCTTCAGGATGGCACCTCCCAGGCGAGTTCCGCGGAACCCGGCGATGAGGGACCAGCACTGGGCGCGATGGAGCTGAAGGGGTGGTATGCCATAGACGGAGAGGTGGTCACATGTGGTCACCATGGTTTTGCCACAAGGAAGGGCGAGGATTCACCGTTCGAAGCGTTTCGAAGAAAGTCAGCTGATCGGAGCCAGCGGGGGAAGGTCAGAGGGGACGGAGGAAAAAGAAACCAAGCTGAAACAAACCATTGATGCCCCCCAGCCGCCCAACCACGCCCTGAAATCGTTCTCCCTGTGTCTCGGGTGCTGTGCAGCCCAACTCCTTGGAGCTTGGAGGGTTGATCGGACCAAGGCACTCATGAAGATATAGGTGAAGACTCCACGTGCCTTGCACTCATCGATGGGGAGCTCCACACAGAACTGGTGGTTGGCACAAGCGTTGAAGAGAACCGCCTGATGCCGGCCGAACCCAATGAGATGAAACAAGGTTCCCAGTTTTGTGAGACGCCGTCAGATATGACAAATGTCTGACCAGGAAAGAACACAGAATGGGAAAATCGTTCAGGCTTGCTTGCCTGTCTTATCCGGTCTCAATGGTGGCAGAAGAAGGGGTATGCATGGCAAACCAACATCGGAGGTCCTCAACAAACCACCCGGACCCTCCAGCCTGACGGGTGTTGCTTGTCTATCCATCTTCTCTTTTCATGATCCGCACATCAGACCTCCAAAGATTCCCTAATCAACCAACCACTTGACGATCCCTGACCCCAATCCGGGATCCTTTGCAGTCCTGACTCCTGAGACCCTTCCAGCCTGACACCGGAGCAAGCTGAGGCCCATCGGCGAGGCCGTCTGCAGCTTCCAGTCCGGCAGCTCGAAGAACCTCGGCAGCACTGGGTGATGTCGGAGCTTCTCCTCGGGCCCGGGCGGGCGGGCGGCACGGTCCGTGGGTGGGTGGAAGTGAGGCAAAAAACGGATTTCGCGGGTGCCCCATCGCCCTTCAAAAACATCACATGTCCGATTCTGGTTGACTTGTTCATGCTGCGAAAAATGATGAAAAATTGGCTTGCAAGAGATTGACTTGCCTTTTTAGATCCCCATGGACTGTACGACTGTCCTCATGCCAGGTGGAGAGCACGGTCACTTGAACCCAAAATGGTCCAAGCATGCCCACCATGCTTGCATCTCATATCAGGGCATCATTCCAGAGTTCCCTGATGATTTTCCAGGTCAAATTCCTGAGAAGATTGAGTCGAATGCATGATGAAAGCCCATTGGGCAAGTGGGCCCAGTGGCGCATGACGGCATTGAATTAGAAAAAAGTCGCCATTAGACGGGAGTGGGAACCCATGTCGATTCCTGTCCCTGTTCGAAATTCTCACGGTATTCATCTGTGGGGTCAAGATCCACAATTAGCACAAAGTAGCCTCTGAGAAGGGGAAACGAAACCCTGTGATTTCCAATGCCCGGCCCACCCACGGAATCCACCACCCACCCTCCACTGTTGGTCAAATCTCGTAGTCCACGTGCCCTCTGGCCACAGCATGAAAGCGATGGTCACCCAAACGATCCAGGGGATGTCCAGCATGGCAGCCGTCCACGATCATGGTGACTTGAACACCTAACAGCCAGTAACGCAGCGATCGCGCGCCCGGGTCGGGTGGTGAGTTGCGCTTTGGGGAGCTGAACCAAGCATGAAGTGAACTCCCTTAGAAGCTATATAGGTGCAATCCGGCCTTGTTGAATGGCATTGAGACTCCTAGGCACCTCTAAAGCACTGTATCTTCAGCCCCGGAACATTCCCCACTCGCTCGCACGCCATGTGGAACCCGTGCGCCTGAGGGCAGCGTGGCCAAGGCTTGATGAATCTCAAAGTCCCGAACCATCCGCGGGTTCTCCTCGCCGAGGAAAGGCGATGGCATCCCGTCTGGGTTCAGCCCCGGTGACCCGAAACGCGTTTCCGTCGGAAATGAGCTCTGGAACCGCCCTGCAGGTTCGTTCCAAAATGATGTCCACATTAACATCCGTTATGCCTCACCCATTCGCAACGTCCGACTTTCACGCTGAAAAATTCGCCCCTGGTGGGCAGGGGGAAGCAGCTCGGTATACGTTGCTCTGGCGGACGAAATGGACAACACCCCCGCCGACGGACGAGATACCGCTCAGAGTCGGAGAGGTTGTTTTTTGGACGATGCCAAAGGATGCGGGGAAACCCTGCCAGCATGTGTCCCTAGAAGTCCAAAGACTATATTTTGACCGACTGAAGTAAAGAAAATTCCCAGTGTATATATTATATACAGAAGAATTTCTATGCATTTCTAGCTGACCTTGAATCAGTCGCTAAAACACCCCTTCAATGTCCCAAGTTTCCAACAAAGCAACGGACGACCGGACGACCGAAACAGCCCAAATCCGCCTAACAGACAACCCTTTCAGTTCATGGCGTCTAAGTCTAAGGCCACACCTTGGAGAGGCTATGAATACTTTCTCTTCTCATCTCCTCTCCGAAAACCTCTCCAGCATGATTGTGGTGGCAAAATGGAAGCTGTTGTCCGCTTCAGCTTTCTGCTTTCTCCGAAGGTCTCAGGCTCTCATCTCTCTCCTTGCCATCTATGGCATCGGAGGGAACCAGCGCGCACTCGCAGAGACGACTCTCGGGAGTCTCCTGCGGAGGTGCACCAGCCCGGACGGGACCCCGCGCAAAACTGGCAATTTTGAGACATACATCTCGTCATAAGACATGTGCACACCATGACGGCATGTGCAAGATTGTTGAAGCCAGCCCATCATATGGAGCAAGCTGTACAGGACTAATTAGACTAGAAAAAAATCAAAAAAACAAGGCATGTCTCCTGCACAGGGATCTGAGCGCCATGACCGCAGAAGATAAAGAAAAGCTGATCGCCTGGAGCACTCCGGGCCACCAGCCATGCCAAGCCTCGCAGCAGGTTCTCCCGCGTGGCGTTCAGGCTGTCCACTGGGACATTGGAGGCATCATCCGCCAGAAGGCGCATGTCCTTGTCCGTGAAGCCACATCTGGATTGAAAGAAGCGATACCTGACGAGGGTGTTGGAGAAACAAATGACTCAACAAAAAGACCCATGTCACTCGCATGACCCAAGCAGTCGCATGTGAGGGGCAGCCAAGGATGGCTGTTAGATGCTGTTATATACGTGTTTTATCTTGCGATCAAATAGATCCACTTGAGGATGAAAACGATCCAACCTTCGGACCAGTCAAAAGCAAGATGGCCTCCCACAAAAAAGAAACGAGGTAGAAACACCAGCAAGATGGCGCACCCTTGTAATCTACATGTTCAAGTCCTGGGGGTCCAAGAGCCATGTACGGATCGTGCCCTTTCTTCTGGCGCACCACTGCATGGCATCAATGATCCCAGCACGGATCGTCCCAGGCTTCTGCGGGTAATCGCAGCCCACGATCAAGGCTCTCTTGGGTCCTGGACACTGCGACGGACTCTGCGAAGTGCGGATAGCGGACAGGTCAAAACTTGGAGCCCAGTCCATGCCTTTGAGGTAGGTCAAGGTCGGTCTCCTGGTTTGGGACCCACGGCCATATGCACCCCCCCCCCAACACCTTGATTCCCCAAGCCATGTCCGATGTCATAGGGGCTCTTCAGAACGCCGCGTTCGCGCTGCCGCGCTTGGGCGCTTCCGGTGCGACGCGCTGTGGACTCGCCACCTGCTGGGCACTTGGGGTCCAGGAAGTCGATGCCGAAGGCCTCTGAGACCACCTGGAGCGGGACGGATGGGAAGGATGGGCGATGGGGAAGGATTTTTCTTGATCTGTGATTCCTAAACTGGATCATATCGGGTTCTTCAAGTATACATGTATCATTCACTGTAGTTCACTGCTATTCACTTGTCAGGTCAGGTTGGCATTTGACAGAGCTGACATCATGACGCTTTCATCAGTCTCAAAGAGCTGGAACCACCACTCGACACTCGATTGCCTGGACTTTCAAAAAGCAGAGAGAGAGAGAGAGAAAGAATATCATGTATCATGAATAAATAAACTCTGAGAAAACCATGGAAAACCGAATGCTTCTGAGTTTGAAAACTCTCTGATGGACGTTCTATCTTCTTCTCACACGGAGTCTTCTGGTTCCTGGTCATCAACGCTCAGTTTTTTCCATTGGGGCGAGTCGTTTTTGGCTGATTTCCGTCTGACGCGACGGATCTCACCACCCATGTAGTCAACATCATATGGAGGCTCCTGGCCTCCACGAGGGCGGCTGCGAGTTGATTGTTTCTCTACTTTGAGGACCCTTTCCCAGATTGGAACTTCGCACAACCCGAGCGGCCATGCCAGTGCCCAGCTCCGGGAAGGAGAGCGCCGGCACCGTCACCGCCGACGTCCAGCTGGGGCCATCGGGGAGAACGCGCTCCTCCAGCTGCTGCCTGCATCGTGGGAGCGATGAAAGCCCGAAGCTCGGAACATCATACAGCTCCTACTTGACCCCTCTATATATATATATATTCTATATATATATATATATATACGTATTCTGCATTCCAAGGTGTTCAAAAACAGCTTGGCCAGTTCAAATGTCCAATCCTGATGCTGATCCCGTCCCGTGGCGCAACGAAAACAGGCCCATGGCGCCATGCGTTCGCTCCTGGACATCCCAGGAAAACCCCTCGCCTGGTCACTGACAGTTGCTTTTGCAGCGCCTCCACCTGCGCCTGTGCTCCGCTGAGCTCCTCCCGCTGTGCCTGCGCACGACTCAGTAGCGCCAGGGCGCTCTCAGCGTCGGGCACGCCACAGGCACGCGAAATGTGCTCCAGCTGTTGCCTCGGCGTGGTGCGGTACATTTTTAGGGGGAAGGAAAACGGGGAAGTTGGATGCCATGGACGCCCCAAAGATCTACGACTGAAAGAAAAGTGATCCATGTTTCCGCGATGAGAAACGGGTCCAGCCCACCTGGAAGCCAAAAGAAATGCCTTCTTTCATCTTTCCACTGGATGCCGTGTCTTGAACTGATGGGTGTTCCATTGCCATGTGATTGTTCCCAGCGGGGCTTGGAAGGTGACGATCACATGCAATCACTATCATGCATGAGACTATCTATTTCAAGTGGGGGCAGCAATCAACAAACACCGAGTCCACCCACTTTTGATGGAAGAAACCACGCCCATCGGCCTCCGTCGCAGTGGTAAATGAAAACTTGCTCTTCCGCCCAGTGGTCAACCCTCAAGACACCATTGCCAAACGGGCCCATCAGCCAAGTTGCTCGGCCTCTTTCCGCTGCCGTCGCTCTTCAGACAGCTCCTCAACTTTCCACCATTATTTTAGGGTGTGTAGAAGGCCAAAGCGATGAAGTCCGGTCGCCCAACTCGGCGCTGATATCATGTTGCGAGCGTTGTGAAGGTGTACTTAAATCCGCTGGTAGGGGTAACAGCAGCTGATCCGCTGGTTTCCATGGTTTCGCCGGTGATATTCCTCATCCCACTGACCCATCAACAAAGGAGGACTTAAACGTACAGCCTCTGTCAGGCACCCTTCTTGGATCGCAGCTGCAGATTGAATCCCTAGTTCACCACCCCCGAACAGATGCACATGTTTTTCTACATCCCTCACGATCTCTCACCCCATGATCCTCCCCATCCACCCCATCTCCTGTCGCGTTTGGTTCAGCTCCTGCCGCAGCCGCGCCAACTCTTCCGGCAGCTGCGAAGCGTCCTGCTGAGCCATGATGGGCGAACTCATCGCCGCAATCTGCTGCTGCAGGGTGAGCACCTGGAAATCGCAGGGTGAGGTCGGGCACCAAACCGTCGATATCCCCAACGCTTGGACGACCCACCATCTATCTCTGGTTCCCTCATGTTCCCTCAGAGCTGGATGCAAAATCAGAGCTCAAAGTGTAAAGACTTATATAAAAAAGGCAACAAAAAAAGAAAAACATCAACCAACCCGGGGCAATCACTTCCGCACCTGATTCCGAAAGAAGTTGGCCTTCTCCTCTGCTTTTCGCAGCTCCCGTCGCAGGCGCTCTGCTTCCCGGGCGTCCGCGGCGGGTGGCTCCGGCGCGGTGGGCGCGGCCAGCGCGGGTGCTGGCGCCACCGCTGTGGTTGGGGCGTGGGCTGGCGCAGTCGCAGGGGGCACGACTGCGGCGGCGGCCACATACGGGTATGTGTAGCCTCCAAGTAGCCGAATCGTCAAAGAAAGCCGTGATTGTGGCATGATCTGCTGCGCCAAACATCGGCGGCCAATTGAAGATCATGTCAATAAAACTGAAAAAACATACAAAGGTATTACGTCTGGTCTTATTCAACAGTCTACAGTTTTGCAAAGAGTTTTGAAGTGTCTCTTCAACATGTCCCGTCCTCCAACGGGACCCTTCCCTCCGCTGCTGTACACGCGGCCCACCATCCCTTCGCTGGTGGGTCGACTAGCAGTCTGGCTAGACCATTGCACGGCCGCAGCAAGGGAAGGCCGGAGCATGGCCGGTGAAAACGGGCCGAGATCAAGAGTTGTTCTATAATTTAAGGGCTGGAGTGTACTTCTGGTTGTTTCAGCTATGGGTCTTAAAAGAGGAGAACCCATCATTCAGGGAAAATAAACTACAAAACCATTGGCCCATTGTTGAGTCGCACTCATAGGGTGGGGTGCCCTCTTCCACAGTCTAGTTCCTGGCACACCAGTTATGCAATCGTGCTCACTCTGTCACTGGCCAAGCAGGTGTGGCTTTCGTTTAGCTGGCTACCCCGAAATTTGTTCCGCTGCACAGAAATCTGATGAAATCTGACGTGCGCTTTCTCCAACTCACTTGAAATTGCTTTGTTCTTTGCGTCTCTTTGGACTTTCCCTGTCATGCGCTTTCTCCCCCACGGCCCCCACGGTCTGAGCATCGTCCGTACACATCGCTTCGTCCAAAGAAAACGATCCGATGGTCCGCACTCCACACAGGCTTTTCATTTTTCGTGTTTGAACCTTTGCCCCTTTGAACGATCCCAAAGTCAATTCCTTTCAACATCAACCACCCGAGATGACCCGGGGCCTCGAGTGTCAGGTCGCAGTGAACTCTGGTTTGGCCAAAAGAATACCGGGCCTTTTGGGGGGCAGCCTGCAGCTATCAGCCAAAATATCCATGAGGAGGAGTGTCAAACAAAATCTGTCGTTCGCACGCAAACAGAAGCCATGAAAAAGGGACCGACCTTCAAAATGAATCTACAAAAGTTGGATCTTATCATATCTTATCTACAAAATTTAAAAGGTGTTCATTTTGGGTTGCACCAAAAACCGGGATACTATGTCCTATGTGTTCACACGCTGACTTGGATTACCACCTCGATGTTGTGAAGCACTGAAATCACAGCATCGTTCAACATGGTCCGTCAAATCGATTCCAATCTCTTGTCCGGGCACGACGCCAGCGTCTAGTATTTGGCTTCGCTTGGGGCTTAGTTTAGGCTTGGTTCCAAGTCACTCCGTGTCTAAATCTCAAAACCCTGAAGGAGAGTATACACCTCCATGCCGCACATTCCACGCATCGTAAGCCTTGAACGCCCGTTTTTAAGCAATTGGCCATCCGGCAAGCTCTGCCGTTCGCCGAAGTCCTCCCGTCCCGGACCAACGATGCATCGGCCCACTGGATCTGGTGGAATCCACTGGAAGAACGCGCCGAGACGACGCGCCTCATGCGAAAAAGGACGACGCTTCGAACGACGCAGTTTTTGCCAGTTTCTTGACCAGAAATAGAGGGAATAAATGATAGATAATGATAGATGCGCCTTTTCGGGGGGCCCTGTGGTGTAGCGGAGTGACCTTGGTGTTTCAGTTTGTGGGGAGTCATGGTGTTTGCTCTCGAGACTCCCTCTCACAATTGGCTGAGCATCTTAGTCTGTGGGAGGGCACATGAGTTCTGCAGATGCGGGTGGAAGGGAAACATGGCCTCCATGCGACTTTGGCAGAGGCCACAGGCCCGCAATTGGATTTCATTGCGCAGAAGGGATTGGCCCAATATACCAATCCTGCTTGTAAATGGTCCTTTTGACAGGGATTTAAAGTTGAACGTCAACGAGTCAATGAAAGAAGAATCCAGGGGCGCCCCGAAAAAACACTTGAGCAAAAAACATGTGTAGCATCTCTGAAAAAGCCTTTCGCGGCCGGTCAATGGAAGCCGCACGACCCTCGGCACCGAGCCCGTGCGGCTCGTGAACGAGGCACGGGCTCGGCACCGGCACGGCCAAACGGTCAACGGCTCCGCTCATCGCTTCACCGAGCCCAGCAACGCTTCCTCCAACAGCTGCTTCGCACCCTCCGCCTGCCAAGTCAATGCGCGGCGGTTCCGTTCCGAACGCTGAATCCCAGGCAACGCAACGCAAAAAAAACGCGCAGTGCCACAGGTGTGTAGGGTTCAGTCAAGACGATGTGGCTTTGACCTTTGAGTGGAGGTTCCCATCGAATCTGAAGAAGACTTGAACCACAGTTGGACGGTTACAAAGGGGTGTCGAAGACCGCTTTCGAAGAGCCCCAAGTTTGAGGGTTCTTAAGCATGTCTTGTGTGTGTGTGTGGATGCATGTGAATGATCGATCTAACCTTTTGCTTGGGGTGATGAAGTTTCATGCTGGCTAGCAGGATTTTAAAAGACAAAATCAAGATGGATTTACAGGTGGTCGAGGAAAAACCCTCCTTCAAAGGGAAAATACCCTCGAGCACGAAAACCCAGTGAGCAACATGGGTCGAAACTGTACGAGGCCCACCGGAAAACAAAAGAAGTGATGACTAAGACAGCGATTGCTGTACAGCCAAAAACCTGAGCTGTCATGTTCCGAAGGAAATCACATGACTACAGGTCGACAACATCTGCCCCGATCAGAGGACGAAGAAGAAACAGGAGGTACGTACCTACAGTAGGAGGTACTGCTTACAATCCCATCCCAAAGACCCACGGTCCCGCCGTGCGATGCGGGCCACTTGCGTGCTTCCGCCTGGCTCTCATGGCCCTGATCTCGGAAGGATCGGGCCACGTGTAGCAAGGCTTGACAGCGCCGGAGACGCAGCTGCCATGGCACGCTCACATCCTTCAGGACCTGGAGACGCAGCTGCCCCATCGCGCAGCCCCATGCGCGCGTCGTGGTTAACTGGCCCGAAGCTGGGGCTTTTGTCCGGAGCACACGGTAGTTGTCCAAGAACGGGCAACTCGAAAGGTAAGAGCATGTAAAAACATGTACATTACAAACGAACGTGAAAACGCCGATACCTTTCTGGGGGCCATCCTACCTTGAAGTTAGTAGGAAACATCTCCTTGGACCTTCGTGACTTTCATCAAATAGAGTGGCCCTCGAATTCCGCCTCGCCTCGCCTACCCTCGCCCTCCCTCCTGCTAAGCCCTCTCTCCGCCTTGCCACTGACGTTCTTCAGGGTGGCAGAGATGTCCAGCAGGCAAACATCCCAAAGCGTTTGCAGAAAGACCGGCAACGTCCCTTCCAGCGTCTCTTCGAAGCCACTCAGCCCATTTGCCTCAGCGACGCAGAACGCAGCTCCGATGGAACCGGATGGATCAGCCACCGGGAGCGTTTGGAACCCTCACCCGATCCTATCCTCTTGCTCCAAGCTACGTGCGTGCCATCTTTCGCACCTGGCAAAGGAGAGCTTGAATTGAATAACCCAAAGGTGCCAATAAACACTGGTTATCTAGCGTGCTGCAAGCCAGGTGGCTTTGTCTCAACATGGTGTATGAGCACAAAGCCTTGCTTTTTACTGCAACATCCAGACCCAGCCACTGGGCCGCTCCACCCAAAACACCCTCGCCAAACCGTTTCCGAGATGATGCCGGATTCATCTTGCCCCTTCAACATCCCAAGCACAGAAGGGAAGCCATGAGTCATCCTAACTTTTTTTCATCAGTTCAACCGGATCCCCAACTGGCCTCAATCTTCCCTTCGAACCAACTTCCAAGATTGCTTCACACCCCCACTTTTGGTCCTTTCATTACTGGTCATCGGAAACTCTTTGGTTTTCGGAGATGTAACCTGAACTCTTCGCACCCTGTGCTGACCCCACCTTCGCTCCGGTGCCAGGCCGCCGCGGCCTCGCCCTCCACGGAGTTCGCCGCATAGGCCGCCTGCGTGAGGGCAAACAGCGATCCAAAGGGGGAAGTGCTTGCCATCCTGACCAAACCAGGGAAGTTTCAGTGTCCACCACGCGGAGTGCGCGTAAGAAGTGGAGCAGCGGACTTCGCCATGTGCGCCGGATGGGAGAGGGTGACCAGCAAATATTTGCCATTTCGGAAGTGTTCAGGAGTGGAAAAGAGCTCAATGTCTCTCCCCCGTCGACAGTACCACGGTCGCCCCAAAGTCCTTCGCCACGCTGAGTCCCACTGCTGTCTTCAAGTGGGTGTCCTGTCGAGTTTGACTCGTGGCCGTGGTCACGAACGTCTCCAAGAGGGCCGTCGGCGGCAGTTCACGCGGAAACGTGTGTTTGGGTAAATGCACTGGAGGGCCGTTCCAGTTTTGATGTGGTCCTCTGCAAGAGAAACGAAAGACATCAGGGTGGCAATACTTAGCGCTTCCAGCTTTGTCTTATAAGATCCATTCACATCATGTAACATGAATCATTACTAATACGACTGTGCTGAATTCTTCATGCTCCTCCCACCGATAGATCCAAACGAAGGTTTACCAAGCTCGATGCTTCGCCGTCCTGAAAGCTCTGGTTCAAGCGCGTGAGCTGGGATTCCAAGGTCAAGGGCCCATAGAGTCCTGGCGCTACAGAGCCATTGGTGCTCCCAAAGCCTAATCTGCAAAGCTTGGCCAAGACTGGTGGGGTTGGCGGTTGGTTAAGGTGTCAGTTGAAGAGGCCATTTTTTTTATCGCTGGGGTGTTGTGTTGATCCCTGTGAAATGCTGGAGCAGATTCGGCAGTGTTGACATGTGACCATGACTCTTGAGCATCCCCCCTGGTCTGATCTCGTTTCGGCATACCAGAGCTTTCTTGGGAGCGAGCCCAAGATTTGTTTGGCAAATCATTCAGCAAAACCGGAGCTCTTTCATGTCCATTTCTCACCGGGGACGATTTGCGTGGCTTTGTCGTTCTTGAATCGTCGTGAGAACTCGGCACATTGTCTTCTTCCCAACCAGCGCGAGCGCGAAGCCCCAGCGAAGCTTGGCTTCGATGCACCTGACAGAAAGTCTTCGGCCGTACTTTGGTAGGAGCGGCCAATGGCGCTCAACAGCCTGCCCAGTGCCGGTCGGATGGAGGATGGAGGATGGAAACTGGATGAAAATGGGACTTGGAAGAATATGAATACTCATGACCATTCTAAAGACAAGGGGTTGTCCACCAAACCATGATCGGGAGGGATGGAACTTAACTGGTTGGGGCCGTTCAAGTTCAATTGTTCCAGCTTTCCTGGGCACACTTTGTCGACTTCTGTAGCAACTCTTCCCCCGCCTGGATCCAAAGCTACACCGCGCCAGGATACTCGCCTGGTCGAGGTGCTTCTGCGGCCCGGAACATGCCACAAAAAAGGGCAGAAGAGTGAGTCCTACTTGGTGCAAAAGAACCCCATCTTAAGCAGCTGGTGGGTAGTTTCTTGTGCTGGAAATTCGTGTCAGCAGGTTGACTCCCTTGGTGCACCCGAAAAAGCCACGTCTCGCATCAACCCAACAACCATGTATTCTGAAAAGGCTCCGTAAAGCAATCCCCACCACTGATTCAATGACCCTTGTTGACTGAATGACCCCCTGCTTCATCCTTGTTCCTCTCGCTCGCTCCGCTCTCGCTCCGCTCTCGCTCCCCTGAAGCCGGGAAAACCCCCTGCGGCCTCCTGCGACGTCCGTTGGGCGAAGCCCACGGCATCACGGCGCAATGCCCACCTGGGCGGGTCGAAGGTGCAGGGTCAAGGCGCCAATTTGTATGTCAAACGGTGCAGAGAGTTGTCACATGGGACGCATCATGGGACGCATGTTTGGACCTGTTGCATGTTTGATCTCATCTTGTCTTCCACAAAGTAGAGAAAGTAGAACTTACACAAGCCCTATAGATACGTCAAGTCGATGTTGGGTGGTCGCGTACGAGGCAGCATGATAGTACTCGCAAACACCCTTTGGCATTCTGAGCATGCCTCCATGTGGCTGCTCATGGGGCTAGCTGCTTGACACCAAAGTACCAGTCATCGTGCAAATCTACTGATCTCTTCAGATCTCTTGCAAAGAATCATATTCTCTGGCAAAGGATGTGACTAAGTCGGCATGTAAACATGCACTGCCGATGTCCGGTGACAACGACAGGGCCGAGTCGCTGGTCCAGGAGATCTCGCAAGAAGACCGCGCAACGGACCTCCCTGAGGAACTGCCGCTGCTGCAGCTGACGTTCACTCCTCAGAAAAAGAAAGACTGCGGGTGTTTTCCCATACTGAAAAGAGCACAGTAGTAGCTGCGCCAGGTGGGTGGGTGGGTGTATCTCCTTAACCTTTGTTGTGTCGTCCTTGTTTGGGCCAAAGGTGGGCCCAATCTCATTTCACCCAGCGTCCTTTGGTCTTTGATCGCTAGTAGGTTGGAGGCCATCGCTAGTAGGTTGGAGGCCATTACTACTAGTAACAAGAAGCTACTAGTAACTAGTAGCAAGGACACTACTATAGACTATAGGGCGCCCGCGGCGCCCGCGAAACCAACGCTGCCGTGACGCTTGGAGACGGAGCACCGGTCGCGGGCATCGCGCTGCAGCTCTTTGGCCACCCTGAGACCCATGAATTGTCTCAACGGTGAGACAGGGGGAAGACAACCTGCAACAAGGAAAGACATGGAAAAACGGGTATGGCCGACTTCGTTGGGGCCAGGTGTCCAATTCCCCAGTGGAGTCGCAAATTGGTGCCTCGATCACAAAGAGCGTCGATCGCTGTGTTCCTTCTTCCCAGGAGGTGTCTTCTTTCCTACCCGTCAGTCTCCATCTCGTTTGGAAACCCAAACCAATCATCTGCCCATTTCTCGTCTTTCCGGTCTCCGAAAGGATGTCTTTCTTTGGTGTTCTCCGTCCGTTGCATCGGTCGCTGGATTCGCATCGCTCAGTTGTGGGTCCGGTGACTGGTTCGTCTGCATGGCCAGGTAGAGCTTGCCGATGTAGCGCTCGCCTGATGTCGAAGTTCCAGGAGCCCAATATGGTCGTGGGGATAGTCCGGAAACCGAACCCTCAAGCAAGCTAGGTTTGCATCATTGTGAAGCTTGATGTCGAGCAGCCCCTGCAGCACTGAAGACAGACTAGTCTGCCCCTTGTCGTGCAGATCGTGGCGGATCCTGGATCCAAACATTCCACATCTGCCCACTCTTGGATGAATGATGTGGAGAAGAAGGAATCATGCAAGAATGATCTCCACTCTCCACCCCCCCTCTCCACTCTCGCCCGTCCGCTCCCTCCCTGTCATGGCCATCAAGGAGCATTGCTCGGAGCCAAAGAGGATTCCAAAGAAGAGTAGCGGGTCGATGCAGGGCGGAGCCTGAAAAGCTTGTAAAGGCCAGCTCTAGCGGTCGGCGTTGCTGGTGGTTGAGGATTCAGAATGGAATCCACATGAATCCACACAGGGAAAATTTACATATTTTGACATGTGGCCTGGCAGGAATGATCAAAACATGGATTGGGCTATGGTGAAGAGGTGTTGTCACATCAGTTTCAGATGCTGCTTGGATCATCCTGAGTCAACCATAAAACTCTCCAAGAAATCCCCAAGCCATTGTCTGAAAACAAAAAATGCATCTCTTGCCCCATCTGCCCCAACACCACCGATGCCGACGGGCATCGCACCTCTCCAGCATCTCCCATCTGGTCGTAGTGCTCGCGAAGCCTCAGGGCGAGGGACTCGACGAGTCCCACAAGAAGCTGGGCGCACCAGCGAAAGACGTCCAAATATGCCCAATTCATCCCAATTCTACTGGTCACAAGGTGCATCGCTACGAACGGTTCAAGGAGGCTACGAACGTAGCTTCTGGCATTACTACTAGTAACAAGAAAGCTACGCCACGACACCTCCGGGATCAATACCGACTCCCAGCGCATGTTCTCAAATCCTCCAGGATTTTCACCCGCTGTACCTCCACCTCCACTATCCTCCACTCGCCCAGCCGCTGTGGGTCGCTCAGCACCCGATAGGCGTTGGCCAAGTCCTGGAAGCGCCTTTGTGCTTCCTCGCCGCGGGTCCGACCAAGGCGACCCAGCCGATTTGGTCTCGATCGGTTTCTTGGACACCGAGAAAGTCTCTATTTGACGGACCTGTAGAATCACTGGCTGCTGCGGAATTCACAAAGGACTAAGGACCTTAAAAGACTCTTGTCCTTTGGTCTTGGAGCAAAAAGCAGTGGACAAAAGAACCGAGGGTCTTTGCCAACTTTGACACATCAGAACCGCCAACATCGTACTAAACCCGGTGATCCGGATCCGGATCCAGCACGGGGTGGAACGGAAGTTCCGAAGCAATTCTTACGATCAGCCTTTCAAGGGGTCTCTCTTCTGGTAGAGCGGGGTCCTGGTAGGTATTTTTGTCGTTTGTGCATGTCTATCTCTTTGGGGATGTTGTCACAGAAACAAATCAACAGCCACTGTGGGCGCCATGGGACAACACACGTCCAGGCATGTCCCTCGCACACCCTGCCTGATCGCCAGGGTTCTTATCCTGGGCACTGCGAGATTGGGCCAAGACCAGGCCTTGTTGATGTGACTCTCGAACTTGAACAACAGGGATACGCAGGTGAGTAGGTGTTGGCCCATGTTGTAATATACCTATGAGTTTGGGAAGTTTGGGGTGTATCCTGTTTTTTGAGCCATACCCAAAAGATTGACACGGCCACTACGTAGTCCTATACGTACTCATAGAGTCCGCTCCTCCGCATGAAAAACATGGAAACCTTTGGAACCATGCACGAGTTCTAGATGCTCGTCGACCAAATATAGATAACGATAATCTCGTCTCTGAGAATCCAAGCAGGACCCTCTTCCAAGAAATGAAGTCTTCCATCGTAGGAACCCAAAAAAGGATACAAAAAGCTGTGTAGCAATAACTCAACTCTATTTAGGTCAAGAAAAGCCGCTCCTGCCATTGCCAGTCCCAGTAGTTTAAGCACAGCAGAAGCCCTCCACCTGGTGTGTGCCCAAGCGGCCGGGTGGACTTGCAAGGCTGCCTTGTAGTAGGCCTTCCTCGGTGGACACAGCCGATCGCTGCAGGGAGGGACCCGGGACGCGCAGGGTGGAAGGGATCTCCGGTCTCTCAAAGAGACCGAGCAAGCCGTAGATCATCTTTTTTGGAGCTCATCTGCAACGAAAAACGAGCTTTTTAGGCAACTGCAGGTGTTCTTAGGATTTCGCGAAGAGCATTGTTTGCAAGAACTGAGGGAGTGAGAGCAGTGCGGGCAGCCTCTCCGTCTTAATGGAGCGTTTCTATGAGGCTCAACACTGGCTTCCTTCTGCCTTTCTCACATCTCTGTTGTAGTTGACCCTCATTGACTCTTGACCTATAGCTTTCAAACCTGGCTCTGGTCCCGCTCTTCGGAAATCAGACACTTTGAGAGGTCTTCAGACTTCTGGCCCACCACAAAAACCGCCTCAAGAGCGCTTATGTTCCAAGTTACTGAATCTCCCGTGGCAACGACCTCGCGGCGCGACGTGCCGGTCCCCACGTCGCGGGCGACGTCCGGGGACCGAAGAATTCAGCGATGCCACGGTGCCAACGGAAATTCGGACAGCCACCACCAATGACGAGCTGACCATAGCAGCTATAGACCCAATGCCTTTGCAGCCCACCGGGGTGAGCTTCTCCCGGTCTCTGGGAGCCAGACCCAGGTTTCACTCCCAGCAGGTCGTAGTACGAGCTATCAGCCACCTGTGGGAGCCATCACAGCTTCAACAAGAAGCTTAGGTCAGTGCTTAACCGTGGGCCAGAGTTCGGATTAAGTGCCACTCAGTTGGGCCATTTTTCGTCACTCTTTCATCAAAGCATTCCAAAACCCCCAACCCACCACACATGCGTTCTTTTCGCGACCTGACAGCAGTGCCACCCGCCTCCTTCTTCAAGGAACCAGTGAAGAGAGGCGAGTCTTCCTCCTGCACCCAAGAACACGGGAAACCCCGCCCGTCACCGGACAAGTGACACAAACTGACTTCAGTGAGCCTGCCCGATGGAGCAACACCATTCTCGCCGAGGGGCGGAATCACAATCCTCCGACATCCCAGCAGCCTGCAACGGCTGCAGAAATGGTGCGCAGTTTTCAGGGCTTGGGCCTCCCATCAGATCTCGCCACTCTCATCTCGCCCCCCCAACCCTCATCTTCCTTCGCCCCCATGGTCAGCCTGCCTTGGTTTCCTCGGCGCGCAAGTCGACGAAATCATCGACCCAGCAGCCACTCTTGGTGTCCCAGCGCCTTTGACCCTCCTGGCGCAAGGCCTCCGCACCGGCGGAAGTCTCACCCGGAGTACCGGGGGAGACGCAGCGCGTAGGTGAACAAATCCATCACCCAGTCACCCAGCACTAGAAAAACACCCCTGGTGCAGCCAGTGCAGATGATGCCATCGTTGTAAAGAATGGTTGCCCGCACCTGAACTGGAGGACTACAACCGTCTTCTTGACTTTCAGTGGCCTCCCCAGGTTGTTTTGGGACCTGGGCGCAGGTGGGGATTGGTCACCCGGAAAGAGGCCAAAAGACCCGGAGCGAACGAAGGGTGCAGGACTTGAGGTCATCATACGAGGATGGCTAGCGGCTAGAGCGAGCGCATCCCCCCCCCCCAAAAAAATGGTGTGTTCCAAAACACCACATAATCACAATCGCATCGATGTGATTACGTCACTATGTCATACGATGTCCCCGTTTCCGAACGGATGTTGCTTCCAACGCCACGGTGGGACCGCACCGGGTGGCCTCCGGGGTGTTGAGCGCGCCACGGACCAGCTGCGCACAGCCGGCGGCCGAGCCGCCCAGGGCCAGCCCCACGGCGCAGGTGGCGCCCTTGGCCATGCCCAGCAAGAAGCCAGGGACCCCTGCCTGGAGAACGGAGTAGAGTCGTGAGTCTTCTGTTCCACAAGAAGCGGTTCAGCCCGGTTCAGGGGTTCGTCACCCCGAACCTTTCCATCAAGTGTAGTGTCATGGCTGATCCACTTCACATCCACTTCCTCCACCGGAAAGGGTCATGGAGCAATTAGGGAAATTCAATTATATATATATATATATTATATACACCACCACAGTGTTTTGGATGACGCTCCGCCAAGTTGAAATGTTCCAACCCGGGAAATCCTCCAATCACACTACTGAATAAGCCTGGCCAAGCCCTGCTCCATCTCTTTCACCACCTGACCCCAGCCTCGGAGAGGCCCACTGCCGGCATCGCCACCAGAGCAGCCCCGCCCGCGGCGAAGCCCGCGCCCGCGCAGGTGAGGCCTCGCGCACGAGTCAGTCTTCTTCCCCCGAGGCAACGCAGCGAGCTGACGGTGTTCATCGGTGGGTTTGGGCTTTTGTTTGGGCTTTTTCCTCAGCTCAACGTGACAAGAACCTAAAGAGTTGTTCTCTGGACGCTGAGCAGAGACCAACAGACCCAACTTGGCCAGACAAGGGACCCGTGCCTGAGCCGAGCCCCTCAAGGAGGTCCCGCGGGCGGGTGGCGTCCAACAAACCTGGCACTTGAGGGTCGAGTGCAAGGGGCTGCAACTGCTGGCTGTTGCCAGCTGTCTGTTGGTTGGCTTGAACCTTTTGTTGGGTTGGATTGGGCCTGGAGTGGAATGGTATGGAAATGTGTTGGGTTGAATTCGGTTGATGGGAGGAATCATCGATCGGTGTCTGGTTTTTACTGAATCCAAACTGAGATCCACTGGTGGCTGTTCGCCAGTCCACTGGCGATGGGGTGGATCTCACATCCCAGTCATAGTCATTCGACTTGAACAAGAAAGGAGCTCCGGTTGGCAGTCCACAGCCCAGTCTATCAGTGGTGTTTTTCAGGGCAGTACTGTCTTTGGTAGCATTTAATTCCTTTGCAAACAAACGAACGAACAAACAAACAAACAATCTCAAAGGAGCGCAAGTACCAATCTTCCAGGAATCTTTCCCAACGCTCTTGGTTTCGATGGGATGTGTTTTTTCCAGAATGTTCGTATCAAACTCTCAGATGAGTTCTCAAGACCCATGGCAGTTTTCTTTGGGAAAAAAAACAACGGAAACTCCATGTCACCGGCTCTCCGGCCTGGTTCGGCTTCGGGCTCGGGCCCGGCCTTCCAGGTGGCGTTAACGGCGGTTCACCGGCTGAATGGTGCTCAAGTCAAGTGTTCAGGTGAAAAAAGGATGTAAAAAGCTCGAAGGGAATAGGGCATTGCGGTCACACTTCGAACTCCTCCCTCCCTCCCTCCCCTGCCTCCCTCTCCTGTTCTCTACCATCAGCACGCCAACTGTCAGACATACATCCTACTCCAGTAACCAAGTGCATCGCTTCCAGCTGAACCGCTTCCTCAACCCCCTTTTCGGCACCTCGCGCGGCACCAGGGCGGTCTCAGTCACCGGATCACACCTGGCCAAACGGTTTGCCGAAAAACATCAAAAAAGACCGAGCCATATCTGCCTGAGACACAACCAGGCAGATGTTCCCTGCTTTTGAGACTCCAAGTTCTTGCTGAAACGACTTTGAGGCACTCCATTCTGGGCTGCCGCTTCTGGCCTCACTTCTGGCAGCTCCTCCGGCAAGTTGATCTCCACCCGTGCGTGCCGCGCATGCAGCGACAGGACACGATACAAGGCACAGTCGAAGTCCAGCGACGGAGCCTTGACTGACGGAGGAGTATTGCGGCTGTTGCTTCTCGTTTGGATATTGTGACAGAGGCAGAAGAGGGTGTTATGATGGGTTTTTCCTGGATCAGAGCCATTCAAAGAAAGTTCCAACCCTTTTTGAGGGGTAGTGGGGATGTCAGACAAAAAAGAAAAGTCCAGTGCTGCAGCATGTCCAATCCAATCCACATTGATTCACCTTCATTCTTAGCCATGAACCCACCGACCATGAACCCACCGACCGTCTCACAATCTCAGCAGCTGCTGCGCTCGCCTGCACCCACTCCTGGTGCAGCTCCCCCGGCGCTGGCCCCACGAACACCCGGAAGGCTGCCTCTCAGGCTGATGGCTCCATTTACCCAACAGGCAATGTCTATGCACCCGACTTGAGAGCTGGAGTATGTGCATGAACACCTGTTATCACTTTCTCCCATGGACAGAATCGGGAAGTCGTTGAGTGGAGCTGCTGGAAGTTGCCACCAACAAACAACCCCAAGTCTTTAAACCCGAGGTTCTTGGGTCGTTTACAATGGCCATTACATCGTGTCGCCCTGACCTTCGGACCTCAAGGGGCACCTGTCCCGTGATGGGATGCGAGAAGACCACGCTCATGTAGACGGTATGCCTTGGGCGGTCGCTGCAGATGGTCTGAAATGACTTACACCCACACCGTGCTTTGAAGTGAAAGCTTGCCAACGGCCACTGAAACCATGACTTTAGTGCCAACGGTCACTGTGCCATACTGCACACCGCACTAAATTGAGAAGCAATCTCAACGTCAACAGGCAACCTGTTGCAGCGATTAACATGGGTGAATCGACCTAGAGCCTTGCAGTCTATCATTCAATAGCATTTCATCTCCAAAATTACCCGCCACCACCACTACCACCCCAAGCACATTATATGTTGAGTGACCTCAAAAATCTACCATCAAGGCTGCCCAAAAATTGGGGTCCATGCGTTTCTTGTTTGTGTGGAATATGCAGCATGACTGGGGCAGAAAGTGAACATTGTGCAATGCAGTCATTGTTTCTGCCACAGGAACATGCGTCCAATTATATAAACCAATATAAACATACCAAAAGGTTTCCAACAAGTGTGCAAGCCAATAGATTCAAGGATTCAGGGACCTCGCAAAACACACGAAGTAAGTTCGGAAGGTAAGCCGGCATTGTTGGTCGGCTCCAAGTGTGACATTGTTGGAATGAGACTGTGCAGTGCCCATCCAGGAATGTCCTTTCCCTTCTCTGAGCGGGGGTCGTAAGTCACAAAAAGCTCCAATGTGGGCAGCTGCAGAGTCCAGTGTTCATCAAGACCAAGAAAGGTTTTGTCGTGTCACCAAGACCACAACACTTGCTGTTCATTTTGTATACGTCCACCTCAGAACATGTACATAACTAACTTACATAATTACATACCTATTTGTCAACCCCATGACTGGCTTCACCACACTACATGGTGCTGTGAAAATATGTCAAGCACTCAGGGCGGTGCGATTCGTTCACATACCAAAATAACCCGCTGATTCCATAGAAGTAGTCCATATTGCCTCAGTTGCAAAGCCTCCGGCCACACAGGTGGCGGAGCCATGTTCAGCTTGCACGACAAGGTCTTCTTTTGGTATATCTGATATTCAGAATCCAGATCTGAATGGCAAGGTTGAGGATTTCTTCCGAAACCTGAAAAGCAGCAAAACAAATTGATCGCCAACCTCCTTTTTGATCTACGCCTTTCGCTTCCTGCCATTGCGCAATCCAAACTGCAGATTTGAGCCCAAGGGGCAAAGCCTCAACGTGGTGGTTGCACCAGCAGGCAAACCTGGCGGGTCGATTCGCATCTTGAAGCGTTCTTGTTACCTAGTAGCTACTTGCTCCTAGTACGGCCAGTAGCGTCCTTGTTCCTAGTAGCGATGCCAGGAGCCCCGAACGTGGCGTTCTTGTTACTAGCTTGGGAAGAGCAAGACCAAACACTGACGCTTCCAAGTGCTTTGCACATCTGCCACTACGACACAAGGAACAACTGTGCCGAAATCTGCTTGCCATGGCACGGTCCGCCGGAGCTTCAAGCCAGCTGCCATATCTGAACCAGTCGTTCTCGAAAACAAACTCTTCTCGAGACCTGCCGAGACTGGCGAGCCAAACAGGCAAAGGCACGAGGTTCGTAACAACGAACTGTGCCCCTGCCTGTTGTGCACCTCTATGCAAAGCTGACGAGGAGCATCACCCACCGATTCCCTCCTTCCAGCGAACACGCACAACACATTGCGATCGCAGCAAGGATGGCGAAGTCAGGATGGACAATGGACGTGATCCATGTGGGAAGCCAAAACAAGTACTACCATGTTTGTCGAACGCAACCCCTCTCTGTGGGCCATCGTATACCGCACATCCTCTGTGCAGAGCCACACCATGAGGCATCCCGCAAGCGAGAGGCGAAGCTGCTCGAAAGGCCTCGGAAGGCCCCACGCGCGCCAGTTGACCACGCCGGAGAATCGCGCGAAACCAAGGCGAACCAGGTTGCGTGCTGCGAGGCCAATGCGTGCTGGAAACTCCACCTCTCCCAACACGAGCGCGGTGGAAGAAATCCCGGTGCACTCACCCTGCCGTCCACGCGGTCCAACGCCAGTCCGGGGCACGGCGAGTCTTCTGCGGCAGCAGAACCACCCGCAGAACCAGGACCTCCTCAGCTTCGACGTCCAGCAGTTCCCAAGTGCCTAAGCGGCGCCGCGGCCGGTGGGTCCCGAGTTGAGTAGTGGCAGGGAGGGACAGTGACAGGCACCAAGTCAGGATCTTTCAGTGCAGAAGCAAGCAACTGGGATGTTGCCAACCCCTACAGTACATTACAGTACACCATAAACAAGCAAAAAAACAAAAACTGAGTGGCCTCTGAACAATCCGCAGGCGAGACAAACAGCAAGATTCTGCGGCTGTTTAGAGTTCTCCTTCAGTGGTTGTCCTTCTCTCCAGGTGGTTTTCCATCTTCCGAGAACAGAATGACCGCCTCATAGAGGAGATCGCACCAGTTATATTAAAATACTGGCTTTTCTAATGTTCAAGTCTCTCCCTGCAACCCCGGCGCATCCCTCCGCCTTTCGCAGTTCGCTGCGCTCACAAAGCTCGGGTGCTCTCCTCATGTCGCGGCTGGGGCTGGTGAAGTCCCGTGTCCATCACTAGGGCGGAAGTCCAGCCCTGAGTGGCCCTGGGTTCCGGACCAAAGAACCTCGATCCGCTTATACCATGACATCAATTCGCTGCAAGAACCCAAGTGAGGTTCTCCAATCTGGGTCTTCTAAAAGGATACTCTTCTCATCTTCTCTCTCTTGAGTGCCCCCATCTCGGCCCAGCATCTGTAGGAGCTCCATCGGATCCTTCAACCTGAGCACCGCTGCGCACGGCTCACTCGGTGACACTCGGTGACAGAGTCCACGTCGGGCGAGTCTGGCGACCGATTCCGCTCGGAAGCTGTCCCGACCGTCCAGGTGCGAAAGATGTCTTCGTCCAGAGCTGTGGGTTCACCCCGTCTGACGTGACCTGTGGAGACCTGTTTTGGTCCGAGGCGGGACGACGGCTTCTTTTGGTCCACGCGTCGCATGAGCGAAGAAAGACGGAACAGCCAAAATGAGCATCATTGGGCACACGGAAAAAGAGTCTGACTGAGGGGGTGGATTTCATTTCACCAATCTGGATCTTTCTTTCAAGAGGGGGCATTCCAAAACTGATTGATCTCCAATATGTCTTTGAGGCGGCATCCTGTTACATGGAACATACAACAACTTCATCCGTCACAAGTCTTAAGTGCAGCGGTAAAGCGTGACTGGTGCTAACTTGCGAGCGTTGCGGTGGACGCGCTGCGTTGCACTCGGTGCGTTGCACTCGGTGCGCTAGGCAACTCCTGAAGTAGCTGTTCTTTTCTCAGTCTGGGCTAGTGTGTCCTCACTCAGCGCGCTCGCTGCGGTGTGCTCGGTGCACTCGGTGCGTTGCACTGCGCTAGGTGCGGTGCACTCTGTGCTGTGCGCTCGGTGCGCTCGGTGCGCTGCACTCGGTGCAATGCCCTCGGTGCGCTGGTTGTCGAGTAGCGTCAGTCTCTGATCGCCGCCGCAATGAAAACACTATTTGAATCTATTTGACAACCAAAAAAAGGAAAACAACACAGAGGATGCATGGACGTGTACTTGTGTCACATCCCCAAAAAAGAACAGAAGTTGAAGAGTCCATCTTCATCAAAATGAGAACAGCAGCCGAGGAGCTGAAGGTCTCCGAAACGGGCCGTGAAGCAACATGAACCAATGAGGGGATAGGAGACCTGGGTCGCGTCTCCGTCTCATGCGTCCAACGACGAAGGGTTCTGTCCGATGGACAGATGAGAGTGACAAGCGATGAAGGCTGGTTGATGCCGCTTGATATGCTCAGAATCCACGACCCCCACCTTCTTTTTACACATCAACATTAAGACTTGGAGGGGGCAAGGGAAAACGCTGTTTCAGAATTTGAACCAGAGCGTCTGTGGAGCGAACATCTTTCACGCACATGACCTGGGAGACGTTCTTAAGAACAAGGCCAGCGGGGATTTTTTCAAGAATAAAAATCCGAAAAATGCGCTTCCGCTGACGGCAGCCAGTTTCAGCTTCCGCTGACACCCGAAAAATGCGCCGACTCTGCATGGCCCGCCCGATGCCACTGTCCCGTGCGGCTAAACCACAACGAGGCATAGAAACTTGCTGTGATCGTCATTGCGATAGGTCACCTGGCTCGAGTTGAGAGAAAGTCTCAATTCTTCTTCACATCTGCTCCCACAAGCATGTTTCCCACAAGCAAGACATGTTAATTTGTTCGATGGCACAGCCTTGTCATATAAAAGAACGTATATGTAGTGCGACGGCAAATACATCTTCATCATATGATGACCTCCTTCAAAGGGAATTCTCTCAAAGGAGCCTCCGACCGCCTTTGCCCATGTCCCCTTCCTTACATGTTTGTAAATCCAAGGCGATCCAAGGCACGTATCCCGACAGTCCAGAGGTCCAGGAATGACTCTGCAGATCCAAACCAGCATCCTGCAAAAAGACTCGGCTGCCACGTCCAGATTCCGGACCGACCCAAAACCCCTTTCGGAAAAACGGCCGGTCTCCACAACACGGCGTCGGGGTCGGCGCGTCGTCTCGTCGTCGCGTCTTCCGGGGAGGACGGACCGAGGCCAAGGCCTGAGCTGAGTTTGAGGTCGTCCAACCGTTCCTTGAAACCGTTCCACCCGTCCAACCGTACCTGGAATTCGGTTCGAACGGGATGAACGGTTCTTTGACGATCTGCAATTCTTGGCCAAAACTGCATGTTGCATATGTGCATGGCAAGTTCTTTCCCCAGCGATTAGACTTGTCCCATCCCCTTTTTCCCCAGCGTTTTCTTCGCGGGTGAACCACCCCTCCTCCTCGATGACTTCCACACGAGGTCCCACCTGATCACGTGATGCAGGGCTTTAAAATTGGAGAGATCCTTTAATTGTGGGCCCCTGACAAACAGGTTCTTTTCAAAGAGGGTCGATGAGTCTTTTCTGACACACCAGCACACAAAAAAGAAGACTCTTTTGGCTTAAAGCCCTTGGATGGTCGAGGTCTCCTCACTTGTCCTCATATCTCCAGAAACACAATTCTCTTCTATGAAAGGAATGTTTAGCATGAAAACCATCTATTTTTCTCCCACTGTGTAGGCCTTTTAGCATCCCAAACCACCGGATTCCACGACTCTGAAGTTCACCACGATCAGGGAAAAACAGCCATGGTCGGCCGTCTGCGAGGCTTCGTTCCTTCTTTCCCCCGGTTTTTTTCCACACATCCTGTGGCATGATGTGGCCATCTTCATCCACCACTCTTCACATCAAGAAACCCACCCACCGCTCTGGAAGAACTCCCCGGCAAAGGTGAGGCAATGAGACTCCGAACCTCGGTGCACGTGAACACGTCAGGCAGTCCAAAGTGGTTGGGCCAACGAGGGAAGTCAACAAATAAATTGCAAAAAAATACATATGACATATGCCCAGTGCATCCCAGTTACCACTATATATAAGGAACCAGGGATTCTAGGTCTATGTGTCGATTCCTGCTAATGCATACATGATTTTCCATTCATTTCAGGTTGTTGATCTCGTGAATCCGAAACATCTCGGTTCACGAGGGCCCTTGAGCGTAAGACTAGCTACGACATCGACGAAAACAAGGTGCGGAAGACCGAGGATCTTGGACTAGACTTCGAGGGCTAGACGATTTCCAAGTTGATATTGGTAGCGGAGCACGAGACGCTCCTCACGGCATTTGACGACGGTGAGACTTCGTGTTTGAAGAGCGCTACGTGATCCTGTGAAAGGGTTTCGTGACACTCACCTCACAGATCGTGATTGGCGTGGCAGGCTGATGTCTCAGGCCGCTGCAGGAGCTGAACGAAGCTCACCGGTGAGGAGGACAGGGACCCGACGTGTCAGGACACCCAGAGAGTTTGACTTCCCGGACGAGACAAGACCTAGAATAGCGTTAGCTGAAGGTGATGGGGGCAGAAGAGACAACGGAGGTTTCAAAGGTTTGGATTCCGGATTGTCGAAAGCATGTCCCTCCACAGATGGTTTGAGTCAGAAAACATACAGAAGCTTTCGCAGAAGAGTTGAGTTGTTTGAACGACAATGTCATCGACGCAATGTTGACACCGCAGTTGAGGGTACATTGTTGTTGATTTCAAGGTTGCAAGATCTGGCATGGGATTCTACAGAGCAAATTTCTTTTGAGGCTTTGGAACGCAGTACACAACCTTTCACCTTTGTGTACGAAATCCTGGACAACCTGTACCAATATGAAAAGCAGGTTGAAGTGCCTTCCCGCTGTGAAGAGTTTTTCGCGGAATTCCAGAGGTTGAAGAATGAGGACATGACCACGTATTTGGTGAGACACCGGACTCTTCTGAAGCGCATGCGAGATGTTGGAGTTGAAGTCCCAGCATTGCTCAGTGGTTGGCATTTGTTGACCAGATCAGGAATTCCCCGTTGGACACATGTTCAGGTGAAAGCATTGTGCCAAGGTGAATTGGAGTACGAGAAAGTTCACAAAGCATTGATGAAGATGTTTGGTGGTGATCACAAGCCAAATCCTAAGGACTTGCAAAGGACCAGCAATTCCACAGAAGTGTTCTTCGAGGATGACTATGACGTCGAAGACGAAGAAGGATACTATGGTGAAGACGACTTCAATGACTGGTGGGAGGAAGAAGTGAATTTTGAAGAATGGCAAGATGATGAACCGTGGCCTGAGGAGCTAGATGAAGCTGTTGACGCCACAGAAGAAGCCTACATATCCTACCTGGACAGTCGTCGACGGATGAGAGAGCTGGCCCTATCCAGAGGATTTTACCCCGTGGTTGCCATTGGACCTGAAACAGATGGACGTGGTCAAGGATCCAAAGGTAAAGGAAGCAGTAAAGGGCAGAGCAAAGGAAAAGGAAAAGGAAAGAGTGCAAAAGGAAAAGGCAAAGGCAAGAGCAGCGGGTTCCGGAGGACCTTTGACAACAGAAGGCC